GAAGTTGATTTACAAAATTTTTGTGAAATACACTTTTGTAGCGCTTGAGATATTCTTTCTAATTCCACAAAAATCAAGTCAATTGGATATTGGAGTCAAAAGTTATGATCAAAATATTAAAAATGTGTCAAATCCTTATCTTTTGAGATACTTTCATAATCCAACTTTAAATGAGTTTTCTTCTAATTTGGACTCTTATAAGAATTAAAATCACTGATATATCTTAAAATATTCCTATCTTAATTTTAACTCTTAATCCTTATCAATTGTGATTCTTTCTCTAATAATTGCTTCACTTGCCTTATCCATTATTACTTTAAATCAATCAATTTACCTGTAAAATAAACCAAACAACTAGAAAAAATATTAAACTAGAAAATTAAGGAATTTAACACATTTAATCACAAATAATATGCAATTAACCAATCATTAAATATAATATTTTTTTTAAATTTTTTTTTGGGGAGGGAGGGAGGGAAGGGAGTTTGAACTCTTAACCTCAAGAAGGCAAAATTTTCACTAGATAAGGAATATTATTGGACCAAAGGCCCGTTGGTAATCATTAAATATAATAAAATAACAATTTTAATGGTTAATCATTTACCATATATGAAGAATTCCTTAACAGCTTCAGTAATTTTATCTCCAATGATGGGCCAAGCATTCTTAAAGAAATGAGCATTAAAACCATCCGGACCAGGGGCTTCATGTCATTGAAGGAAAAGAAGACCTCTTTGATTCCTACAGATTCAATATCCTTAACCAAATGAATCCCTTGAAGGTCAGTAAGCTTGCCAAAATCTAGACTTTCAAAGAAGGATTTCCTTTCTTGAGTTGGAATGGAGCCGCTAGTTTTTCCCAGAAGATTCTTATAGAAGTTGATAGTGTTGTTACCCACAGCTTTTTCCCCTTCAATTGTGGAGCCATCAGAAGTATGAAGTGACAAAATTCTTTTCCTATTCCTTCTACTGGCCATAGTTTTGAAGAAAAAGGCTGAATTGTGATCCCTTTCTTTGAGCCACAGGACTCTAGATTTTTGCTTGAGGATGGATTCTTCATTTCTAGCTACTTGGGCATATTTTGCAGGAAAAGCTTTTTCTACTTGTCTTGTGAGGGAGTCTAAAGGATTCATATCAAGCTTCCTCTGTTAATGATCAAGAGCTGCTTTCTTTTTTTCACTAAGCTGGACAAATCCCCAATTTCTTTGCTTTTGGCTTTGAAGGTAGTTTTGAGCATCCTTAGTTTGCTGCATACATTGTATTGATAAGATCTCTGCAAATTTACACTCTATATAGAAACAACAATAGGAATAAAATCTTCTTTCTGCCAGAAAATTGAAGAATTTCAAGGGGTTGTTCTTTTTTTTTTTTGCCGGGGGGGGGGGGGATTTCCAATTTTTATAAAAACAGGAGTATGGTCAGAAATTCCTGGGAGGGGGGGGGGAGGAATTCAATCACTGTTCTTTCCATATTGTGAATCCAAGCATCATTACCCAAGGCCCTGTCAAGCTTTCTAGAAATGCAATCTTCTCTGTCTCTTTTGTTAGACCAAATAAAGAGGATTATAGAAAACTTCAATTCTAGAAGCTCAGCATCATTCACCAAGTCATTAAAGTCTTCAATAGATTGATTTTATCTAATGTCATGTCCTTGATGTTCTTGGATACTTCTCAAGGCATTGAATCACCAACGAGCAACCAAGGAAGGGGCTAAAAGAGCTAGAATGAAATCTTAAATCACTCCAAAGTCTTATTCTCTCATAATCATCATTAGCACCATAAATGAAAGAGACGATAACGCTTGTCCTACTATCATTGTGGACAACCTCATAGTGAAACACTTGGTCCATGTGGAAAACAATATGGACAGTTAATGTGGCAATATTTCATCCAACCCTGATCCTGCCAAGAGGGTGGCTATCATAGTTTGCAAAAAAGGCCCAATTACTAAAAATATTTATTCTAATGGCTTCTTTATTAATATTTCTAACTCTGGTCTCAGCAATGCCAAAATGTCCAGATGATTTTCACAAATGAGCTTTTTCACTTCAACTTGCTTTAAGGGGTCATATAGTCCCCTAATATTGCAAGCAACAATGTTAAACATTGGGAAACAAAAAACAAAAAATTGAATTTCAAAAGCTCAAAACATCCTCAGCCTCCTTGTAATAGGAGGTTTTTTCTTACCCTTCTTCTTCTTAGTAACATTTCCTTTTATATTCAATTGATGGGATTCAATGGATTGCTTATTAGTTGCAAGGCTGATATCAACTACCAGTTGGCCTTCTTGAACCTGAATGATTTCAAATCTATTTGGAGACTAGAGTGAGGGTTGAGCTGGAGGCAAGCAAGAAGTTTCAAGTATAGAGTTTACCTAGGAATCTTATTGATTTTGGGGTGGAAGCAAAGCCTCTGGGGGATTTTGAGTGATATACTACTCTTGAGCTTGCATAGAGGTTGTGGGATTGACATTTGGGACAACACTAATTGTAGGCAGATCAGGGGAAATAAACTCCACTATGAAAATAATGGATTTTCACTTCTCATTTCTGGAATCTTCAGGCTTTGTGGGAGGTTTTTAGGTTTCCAAGCGGTAGCAGTAGCCATATTGGGACAAGTAGAGTTGGAGTAGCCAAAGATTTTGCATGAGTGGCAAGTTTTTGGCCTTCATTGGTATTCAACTACAATTTCAACCTTCACAATAATGCCATTGATCTCCATTTGAAGGTCGAAAGATCAATGAGCTAGGAGTTTGCACTAACTTCTACACAAATTCTAGCAAAGTTCAATCTACGTTTGGAGGAAGTGAGGGAGTCGGCATGAATAGGATGCTCAACTACACTGGATATGTGGCTTAAACCCTCATTAGTCCAAAATTATAATGGAACATTGAAAAGCTTAATCCATAGGAGAATAAAAGAGTGGTCCTCTTTGGATAGGGTAAGCTCTGGATGCCAATTTTTCAAAATCAATTGCCTTCCAGAGAATAACCAAGGCCCAGCTTCAAACACAGAATTTTTTGCTTCTTTACTCATGAACTTGAAGAAATAAAACCCCCTGTCATATGCTAGAACTTCAAGAAGCCCCATCTTGTCCCAATTTTTGTGAGCAATGAAATTAACACAGGAGTAGGGAAGCTTCCTTTCGATGAAATATCCAACCAGACAGTGTTGCTATTCCAAACTACCTTTTTCTCCTACCTCTCTAGGGGGTTTAACAACCACCCTTTCCTTTTCCCTTCTAGGTTCATAGTACTTGAGTTTCATCACCTGAGTTTGAACTACAATTCCTTGAACATTTTTGGATTTCACGATTTGGCTCCAAGTGGATCTTGGGTTGGGGTTACTTTGGTCTTGTGGTCTAGGTTGGCTTGGGTCAAAGGGGTGATTAAGCTTTGACGAAACAGAGTCCTTTAGGTTGGAAATAGGAGATCGATTATTTTGATCGAGGGGATCTTTTTGGCTGAGATCCTCGGTAACCAGCTAACCTTCTTCAATTTCTTTTCCTAGATCTACCGTGGTTTGTAGAGATGAGCATTGATTGGTGGTATTTGAGTTAGTGCCTTTCTCTTTGAGTGTGGTATTCATAGGTGAAGGGTTAGGGAATTTAATATTCTTGTCTATGATTGTGGAGAACGATTTTGGGTGGGTGGGATCCATGGGAAAAGGTAGAGTGGAGTAAAGCAGAAGAAATCAAGGGAGGGGAGAACGTGTCGTGTCTAACTTTAAACAAAAAATATTTATTTAATAAGTATTGTAGACAAAAATAGATATTTAATTTTTTTAAAATAGTATTACAGGAATTGTTGTAAATATGAAATATACAATACAATGCAATTGACTCGACAAAAAAATATTTTGTGTGAAAAATAATTTTTTATTGACTTGAACACGATAGAAAAATAATACAAGATGACATAAACTGACTTGACACGAAAATGTTACGATACAACAAAATTGAGAGGTATTTAACGAGTATTAACAGATGAATTTTTGGATCATAAATATAAAATATTTAAATTTAAAGGTGCAATTTGCAATTAGCCCAAAATTTTTTAACTACAAATTAGATGACAATTAATCCCCAGTGCACATTAATATAAGTTTATGTCTTTCAAGGTATAAATTAATATTTTTAAATTTTGAGGGTATAAATTAAGATTTAAATCATCTTTTGGGATATAATTTGAGATTAACCTAATTATTAAAAAACCTTCAAGATAAAAAGTGATATCCTAAAAATTTTTAAGGATAAAAATATCTTTTGTCCAAACACATCTTAATTGGATTATTTAAACCCACAAAAAAGTAGGTTTGTTTAAAAGGTTGCGGTTGGTATTAAATATACTATTCATCCAAACCGGTATTATTTCTAAGTGATAATACCGGACTTAAAATGTGTATCCAAACATTGGTATAACAAGGATTAGGTGAACCCAACATTATTTTTTCAATCCCTCTTTCTAATATATGAAACAAACTTACTCATAAGACATAATTTATTAACTTAATTTATTGACTTAATTCACTATAATGGTTGGATCAACTATAAGTCCTATTAAACATTAAAATTTAGTGTTAATAATCTAATAATTATAATAAAATTATATCATTATATCAACAAATTATACATAATTTTAGATTCTAATAACAACTCCAGTCCTAAAAATCTAGATCGGACGTTGCTCTGCCTCGTGTGAATATATAAATGGGTGAGATTACATCTGTACAGGAGTACAGTGCCCACAAGCAATCTTTAAAGTATGGCTGGTGAAGTTACATCTAAATCACCGTGTCTATGAACAGATTGCAGCGAATCATGATTGGCCTGGTTTTTCATATCTGTCCTTTCTTTCATTTTCTTGCTCCGTTTTTGAGTTCTTCCATTATTTGATATTGACTTTGGACCTTGAGGTTGCTCTCCACAATCTAAGCATCTAAGACACCTTGAATTATCTCCTAACCTAACAAACTTTTTTTCTTGTTTTGGAAAGCTTGATTGAATGGATGATCTCTATTCACTTTCTCCTTTTGAACAAAGTGAGGAGCCAATGATTCAATTTCAGATGGATCAGAACCCCTATATTCTTTGCCAACAAAACACAATCCAACAAGATCTTTTCATAGATCATGCTTCACTTGAGAGCAGCAATCTAGTCGTCACTGAAAACATTATAGAAAACACACAGAAATTATCTGCCATTCAAGAGAATGACAAGAGTACCGATGATCATCAACAGAAAAAACTCAGGCACAGAGATTCTGAACGAAAAAGAAGGCAACAAACGACAGGTCTTTATGCTTCTCTTCGGTCACTACTCCCTCTTGAATATATCAAGGTGAAGGGATTTTATTTATTTATTTTTTTCCAGCTTTCCCTCCTTATGCTTTGAACTATTCTACCAACGTATGAATTTGTAAACAACTTAGTCGTGGTCGGTGAATTCCTTTTCCTCATAAATTTAGAGAATAAAAATGCTCCTCTTACACCCTCCAACCTCCCAAAAACCCCAAGCTTACATTTCTGTGCGATTTGTTTATGAAAGAACTATGAGTCTGGGGTTGTGTTGATGTTTCAGGGAAAGCGTTCAACAAGCGATCACACCCATGAGGCTTTGAAATATATACAACACTTGCAGGAGAATCTAAAAGAATTGGGTATCAAGAGGGACAAGCTCAAGAAGTTCTTCCATTCAAGTGGCGTTGGCCCCGGAAATGATCATGGGAGCTCAAGTAATTCTATGACTAATATTATCAAGGTCAGCTCATGCCAAGAGGGTGTTGAGATCATGATCCAAATTGGCCTCATAGATGAAGTGTTCCCTCTTTCAAGAGTGCTGCAAGTTCTGCTTGACGAAAGATTTAGTGTTGTCAGCTGTGTTTCCACCAAGTTAAATGGGAAATCAATTCACTCTATTCGATCAGAGGTAGAGCCACTGATTAATCCAATATACAGTAGTTTTAGGTTTCATCCAAGATTTTAGTGAAGGGCAGCAACATTTTAACCTACGTTTATTAATCATATTCGCAGGCCAATGATCTGACATATGTTGATCAGTCCGTATTGCAACAAAAACTGCTCGATGCGATCAACAAAGAGTCACGTTTCAAGTAACAAATCTATGGCCATTTTAGAACTAAAAGTTAACATGTATGTATGAACCATAGCACTTTGGCATTGATTTTCAAGAAACCTCGTTGAAATTGAAAATCTTGATATCTCTATGAACTTTCTGGCTGATATCTCTGGATGTTTAGTATACAAATTTTTCACAAGAAGAATGCTCCCAATACTTGGGTCCAACTACTTTTCATCCAACAGCTATAGTAAGTTAGGTCTCCATATTAGGTGCAATTAACATTTTCCTTTTCACAAAGCAACTTGTGAGTTTTAGTATGACTTGAAGCATTTTCCCCTATGCTAGATAAATATGATTCAACAGCGGTCGGCCACCACCATAATCAACTCAAAATTCTTCACCTTTGCAAATCCAGTGATGAAGTTTATAGAAGAATTGACCCATAACTTATCCGTAATAGGTAACAGTTTCAATAAGTCAGCACTCTTCTGCTTTTCAACCATGTCTTGCCGAAAAAGAAGACGGATTTTTACAAACTGTTCATTAGAGATATTGACATACATGGTTTTGGCTTAACACCAGAAAGTCTTTCGGTTTTTGGGGCAATTGGTTGTCAAACATGGTACCAAATCTTTGATTTTGGGAGGTTTGGGGTTCAAGATCTTTTTGTTTGTATTTCTGGCACCAATGTGGTTTGTTTGTTTCCAAGCTTTCCCCATTTCGGTCGGTCTATCTTTCTAGTTATCATATGTCCAAGAGGAATTAAAGGTGCGTGTGAATCTTTGATGCGTATATTATTTGACTCATTAGACCCATAACTTCAGTTTCTGAACCAATAGTTGTCTAATATATTGAGGCGTCGAACAAATTCTATATTTTTTGGTGATGATAGGGTCCTGGGCCATATAAGAGAGCGAGTCACTTAATCTATTAGATGCGTCTTTTAGGGTAGAAACTCATGTCCAATAAGAGGTATTAGAGTCATGACCACCCTAGTCACCGTGTGGACTCAATTCTTTGTGTTGGATAAGAGAACAATGATGGTCATCTATTGTAAGCGTCGTTTGAGAGGGAGATTGTTAAGGTATCGAACGAATCTCACATCGGTTGGTAATAAGGAGGTCCTGAGCCATATAAGAAAATGGGTCACTCCACTATATACAAGGTCCCCCTTGAGTTGGAAACCATGCTCAACACATTCTAGCCTCTTGGAAACCCCCTCCCAATTCGGAAGCAAATCGCTAGCGTACATTTGCCTTCCCATTTATGGATAAGACCGACTGGTCATTGTATGTTATTCAACTAGTGAATTCTAAGCGCAATGTTTTTGGTCGTTTTCTTCTCCTCTTTATTATTGACAACCAACAAGTGGGTTTGCTCAGATATGTTTCTTCTTTTGCTTTGTTTTTTTAGTAGCTCCTCTATTCCTTAGATGGTTGCTCGTGTATTTTGTATCTATATAGTTGATCCTTTTGTACTGGGATGGTTGTTCTTCTACTTCTCTGTCTAGAAGAGCTGCCATCCCCTACCCCTTTGTCACTACAACATCATTTTGTTCCTTTTTATTGGTCTCGTTCTTGGTTAAACAAACATTATCTGTTTAAAACTGTTTTTATAGGTTTACTCACGTTATAGGATATCTTTATTCAAGTGCATAACGTAATGGGAAATGATTCTTCTTTCCCTTGCATGATCAAGATGCAAGGACATTAATGGAATCTGAGATACAAGACTACGATGAGGCTAGGTTTGGGATGTGTCACAATATATACCAACACAAACAAAGATGTTTTCTTAATATTGATACTGTTGGGATTGTGCAGCAATTATGGTGAATAATAAGAAATCCAACAATTAAGAAAACAAAAGAAAATTAACACAGAAATTTACGTGGTTCAGCAATGTACCTACATTTACAGGAGCGAGCGGCCGTTAGGGTTATATCTTAACTATTTATATAACCCTAGTACGGACGTATTTATAAATACCCCTGTACCGTACCGTGGGGGCATTGCCCCCGTATCCCCCAACTAATCAGCCTCCCCCTATACATAAAATATATCAATCCCACAAGGCAGATGCTATCGCGGGCTCCGCTCTACTACGTTCCACTTCGCTACACTCCCGCCCGCTCTGGCATCTGCCTTCTTGTCATTGTGCACACAACAAATATGAGCCACACATACTTTAACAGATACCTTCATATGTAAGGCAAAGAATAGGAAGCTGCGAATTTCTTCTGTGAGTCTCATGTTATACATATAATATACGAATTTACGATGCACTACAGGTGGTCAAACTGAAGCACTTGTTGAATATAATACATGGAAGCAGTGTATTTCTTAGCTAGCGGAAATCTTCCCCTTGATGCTGTTGTTGGCTAACTTTGTTTCTCTCTCTCTCTCTCTCACACACACACACTCACACACAAACTCACCCAGAAATATTTATTTGGCTTGACATTGGCATCCACATGGACCTCTCCTCGCAAGGTCGGGCCACATAGCTGAACCGGTAACAAATTTCAACAAGAAAACTAGAATAATCAGTGGCATAATCTCATGAAATCAGTGGCCATGGCGAGCTACTTCATCTACTGCAACACATGGAATTTAGACAAAGTTTATCTTGTCCCATTTGTTCTTTGAATTCCCATATATTCTGTCTTTGGATTTTTGTACTCTTAGAGTCCATCTCTTCAATGGTCACCAAGGGCATTGAGTGAGTTCATGGACAGGCAAAAATTGTAAAGGAAAATCTATTTTCATTGGTGTTGAAGTTAAACTTGTCAAATGTCAACCACCAACTATTATATTTATAAAGAAAGGAACTTCTTGGTGTTCGCTACTGTGCTTCAAATCATCAAACATACTATAAAGGATATATTAGTTTCCCTATTGTTTTAGAACTCTATTCAACAAACTGAACTTTTGATGCAACTATGACAGCTTCCTCATATTTGCATAGGATGAAACTCCATCAAACATTAAAACTCACAATTAATCCAATTGTTGCATTGAATTAAGTCCCAAATTATCTAGGTACTCAAATTAAATTCCTGTAGAATTGCTCCAAAAAGAAAATGTTTACATATGCATTTAGAGTTTATGCTTAAAGATGTACCAAAAGTTCATTGGCTTCCTACGCCCTTTCATTTTCATGCCACAATACAAGTACAAGTGATCTCTAGGGTTCTTTCGAGTGACTTTCAAGAGGAAACATAAAGTTTGCCAATTAAGATCTGAATATATGTATTCTATTGTTTTTTTTTTAATTTTCTTGAGAAAATATAAAGTATTCAAATAGGGACATTTGAAATAAATCTGTCCGTTAAGAGCAAGAATAGCACAACTTCAATCTAAATTGATCTGATCCATTTTCTAGCGTATTCAGAAGAAACAAAGTATGTTGGCCAGGTGAAACACAACAGCGAGGGACTATTCTTATATCTTAAATCTCATTTTTTACTTCTATTTAATCATTTTATTTCAAACTAATAAGTTCACTTCATTTATACCCATTATATTCACTAATTAAAAATTAAATTTATTCAATTTTATTTCAATCTACTATATAGATAATGATCAAAATTTTGTTTCGGTTTATTATTTTGGTACGAAAATATTTCAAAACTAGAATAAAATAATAATTAATATTAAAATATTAATCAAAATATCTTAAAATATTTAAAAGACATTGGTGAAAATACATCAAATTGTCCCAAAGCAACTCAAAATAATATAGATCACCTTAAAATATTGAAATTTCACTTCAATTACTATTTTTATTTTAGTTTTTCTGACATATATTTAAGTTTAATTGAATGAGTATAAATAGTGTAAACTTAATAACTAATGAGAATGAGTATAGATATGATTAACTTAATAATTTAAAATAATATAATTAAATAAAGTGAAAAAAGAGATTTAAGGAGCAAGAAAAGTCCACCCAACACCAAAAGCAAACTAGGTAGTCCAAAAGCTCTCGCAGCTCATTGTTAGACTGACAAAAATGACAAAGGTCCTTAATGTTAGTTTTAGAGATGTTGTGGTCATTGAATTAATAATAAATTTTATTTAGTTCTAGAATTCGCTACTTACCTAAAAATTATCATGTATTAAACATTCAAATCAGATTCTCGAATTAAGTTTCAATAATATTGATCTTACTTTTTTTACTTTGCTCCTGCTCTACCTACTGCTGTTTGGAGCTTGTAATACCCTTGATAGTAAGGTGCTTTTGGCTTGGTTCCCCACAGGAATCTAACGATTATAGCTAAGGATTCCGTTGAAAGTACAGCTTCAAGGCCTATACTTCCTTCAGAACTCTATCTGCCTAGGTTTCTTATTTTGTATGTCATGGTTCTCTTGCTTGGTCATGCACCATTCTTTTTTGTATTTCAATTAATGGAATTTATTTATTTTCCAAATGAAACATTGGTCCTCCTGAAAACCTCCCCTTCAACATCAATGCCTTTGGGTTAATTGGCAAGAGACAAACTCATTACAATCATTGGAGGATACCTACTTGCTCCAAATGGGTTCCACCTGCCCCCACCGTTATATACATTTGTGAAGAAACCTACTACAGATTTCCATTCTGATGTTTTCAAAAGCCCCATTTTCAAGGTTTCTGAGATTTTATTTTAGAAAAATGTTTTCCACTGCAACATCCAATCATTGGGTCAAAATTAACAGCTATTTGAACGGAAACCATAATCTAAGTAGCCATATGATCAGAAACAAACATCACACGGAACTATAATCAATCAGTTGAAAGATATTGTTAGTTTTAAAGATCTTCTAGGTAGGACGTTGTTCTGCCTCGTGTGAATATAGAAATGGGTGAGATTACATCTGTACACGAGTACAGTACCCACAAGCAAGCTTAAAATATGGCTGGTGAAGTTAGCTCTAAATAACCCTGCTATGATCAGATTGCAACGAATCTCGATCGATTGGCCTGGTTTTTCATATCTGCCTTTCCTTTATTTTCTTGTTCCATTTTTGAGTTCTTCGATCTTTCGATATTGAATTTGGACCTTGAGGTTGCTCTCCAAATCTAACAAACATGTTTCTTGATTTGGAAAGCTTGATTGAATGGATGATCTCTATTCACTTTCTCCTTTTGAACAAAGTGCGAAGCTAATGATTCAATTTCAGTGTTGGTTTTTTTTTATGGAGTTTAATTTGTATATGTGATTCGGATGATGACCCGACCCGAAGTAATGTTGTGTGGTTTTTAATGAAAAATTTTCTGAGGAGAAAATTTTTTTGGGCCCGTTATACAGCCCAGTGCGTAGGACATATAAACCCTGTTGTTTTGGTGATTAGGGTTAATCGTGGATTGTACAGCTGCTCTCTGTATTCAACTCTCTCAATAGTGAAAACCCTGCAGCTTCGTGGACGTAGGCAAATTGCCGAACCACGTAAAATCTGTGCTTTGTTCTTTCTTGTTTTTTATTTTTTTATATCCTTGATTTGTTCTTCGATTGTGTGTGTTTGTTAGTGGATTTAAATCGTATTAAATCCCAACATTCAGAAGGATCAGAACCCCTATATTCTCTGCCAGCAAAACACAATCCGACAAGGTCTTTTCATAGATCATGCTTCACTTGAGAGCAGCAATCTAGTCACCAACAACATGGGATCTAAAACACAGAAATTATCAGCAACTCAAAAGAATGACATTAGTGCTGATGATCATCCACCGAAAAAACTCATGCACAGAGAGAGTGAACGAAAAAGAAGGCAACAAATGACAGATCTTTTTGCTTCTCTTCGGTCACTACTCGCTCTTGAATACATCAAGGTGAAGAGATTTCAAAGTTTTTTTATGTTTTTGTTCCTAACTCTCGGTTTGAATTATTGTACCATACATATGAAATTTTCAACAACTTAATTGTGGTCTGCTCCCTCTCTCTCTCTCTCACCCCCCAACCCCTCGCCAAAAGAAAAATTACCAATTCCTTTGTTTCTGTGTGAAAGATGGGGAGTAAAGGTTTGATTATGAAGAATATGAGTCTGACGGTTGTTTTGATGTTTCAGGGAAAGCGTTCAACAATCGATCACACGCATGAGGCTATGAAATATATACAACACCTGCACGAGAATCTGAAAGAATTGGGTATCAAGAGGGACAAGCTCAAGAAGTTCTTCGATTCAGGCACTGTTGGCCAGGGAAATGATCATGAGAGCTCAAGTAATTCTATGCTTAATGCTGTCAAGGTCAGCTTATGCCAGGATGGTGTTGAGATCTTGATCCATATTAACTCCGTAGATGAAGTGTTCCCCCTCTCAAAGGTGCTGGAAGTTTTGCTTGAAGAAAGCCTCAGTGTTGTCAGCTGTAATACTACCAAAGTAAATGGAAAGTCAATTCACTCTATTCGATCTGAGGTAGAGTCACTGAAACAATTCACTAGTAGGGTTCATCTTAGTTTTTTTTTTTTTTTCAATAAATAAGATGAATTTCTATAAAACCGAAAGGGAAAACAAATACAAAAGTGTATACAAAGGGATGATTGATCTTCTAGACCTAAGTTTTTTGTTAAGGGCAGGAAAACTTTAACCTAATTTCCTTACTCATATATGCAGGCCAGCAAGCTGACATGCGTTGATCAATCCATACTGGTACAAAAGCTGCTCCATTTGATCAACATAAAGTAAGTGTAAATTTGTTTGTATGAACAATAGTGCTTTGATTTCAAAACGTCTTGTTGAAATTGAAAACTTATTGATGTGTTTAAGAATTTTATGGCTGATATCTCCGTGTATTTAACTAGTGTGCAATTTTTTATTTTTTTTTCTGGGTAGGTTAATTTGTATTTCTCAAGCAATAAATGGTATTTCAGATATACATCAAAACAGTTACAGCATTTGGAGACTTTCTTTTCTCCCTTTATATACAGGGGAATACAAAGGTGAAACCAAAGACTTTACATATATAATCTGTTAACACTAGTACCTGATTAAGTACTCCAGCAGATTTAGTCTCTACTGTGCCAGTCATGTATGCAAAACCTTTACCAACTCTTTAAAGATTGAAGTTAGTTTTCAGTGCAAAATCATGTACTTCTAACAGTTTCACAAAGCAGCTTCTGCGTTTTAACATGTGTAACCATGTTGCATTACGTTAGATTGATCAGTAATGATGTGCAAGTTGGGATTTCACACGATTTAAATCCACGGACTAAACCTCAGAAAATTTAAATCCATCGGCCCAAGCCTTCTCTCCATGGACTAAACCTCAGAAAATTTTTCATTAAAAACCACACAACATTACTTCGGGTCGGGTCATCATCCGGATCACATATACAAACTAGACTCCATAAAAAAAACAACAGTGCAAACTTAAAAACCTAGCTTAATTTGTCGACTTGACATGGTCAAGCAATCTGCCCAAATGAAAAAAATCTTACAGTTACAGTTGCAATAATGCTATTGAATATGTGAACTGCTACATTAATATGTCAGTTTTTTAGATCTAAGTAATAGTACTCTAGAGGGGTAATGATTCTAATGTACTTATTTTCTGCCTTTATTTTAGCTGTTAGGTCAAATGCAGACATGTATTTACAGATCAAATGGAACTGCTCATTGATGATTCGTTAGGTAAGTTGCTTAACACTACCTATAGGAGCATCTTCAATAATTCTTTCTATTTTGGAGATCTTATTTTGGAGTATATAGAGTGCCTTTGAGAAAATTTTAAAATATAAAGTAAAATTTTGTATGCGACTTCAACAAGGCTCTCTATCTTACTGGTGTGGTACTCAACTATCTATAAGGGCTGCACTCCAAATCTTTACATTGTTGCATTTTAGTTAATAGAACTGGTTTTGAATTTTCAAGGAAAAAAAAAATTTGAAATAGATTTCAGATTGCATAGCACTTACAAAAGAAGGTATTGGTATTATGTTTAATTCCGTAAAGATAAAGCAAAATTGAGTTTTAACGTGGAGAATCAAATTAAACTCTCTGTTATATGTTTGTACAAACAAATTTTACTCAAGATTGATTTTCAGGCATTGATTTTGTATGATAAAGAATTGAGCATGAACAAAGAGTCTAATCGAGGTGCTATATATATCCACAAATATGGACTATAGAGATTTAGTAGCTGACTTAAATTTCCCATTTGACTTGCTTTTATTTATAAAGTGTGCTTGTCTTTGTTTGTCCCAAAAGACTTATATTTTTTGGGGGCAATTGGTTATGTAACGTGGTACTGAGATCTTGGCTCATTTACCTATATCATGCAGTACTACTTGGTGTCTATCATCTCACATTCAATTCTACCCTCTTCGACTCCCTTGTCGGGTTTACAAATATTGTACATTTGTTGCGAATACCACATGGGCATGATTAAAAGGGTGCTAAACTTGGGTTTCCCTACCTTCAAATTCAGGTATAATCGGAGATGCTCAAATTCATTTTGAAGGGTGAGGATCCCTCAACGTCATCAAATCTTATCTTATTCACAAATCACTTATGTTTCATTTAGTATGATAAAAAAATAGAATGATGAAAAATTTGAACGATAAATAAAACATCATATTTAATAAAAAAAAAATAAGAAACGTGTAAAAGTGGAAAGATGAGCTTTCCTTCGAACTTAACAAAATTAATTCCTTCAAATTTAAAAAAAAAGTGAATAAAAAGTTAATTGTTCTTACTTTACGTCTATCTTACCAAACTCAAAAGATAGAAGAAATGATTCCTTATTTGAAAGATAAAAAATGTATCACTCAAACTTTCTATTATTCTATTTTTTTCATCTACTCTATCATACAAATCATTAAAACTTTGAAATTCAAAGTAAATTAAATATATTGTCATGGAAGGATTCTCACCCTTCAAATAGGATTAAAGGATCCATAAACTATTTTAGAATTAGAAGAGTCATACTCGCTATATGAACCAAAAAAAAAACGATACAGAAAACAGTAAACAAGTGATGTGATGCTCACATCACATGATGAGTACAACTGGCTTGTTGGCCCTCATTTTTATCAATCTTAACGTTATCCCATTGAAGAAAGTTTTGGTTGGTGGCTAAAGCGGCTTCAATTATGCCATTTCCTTTTTTCACATGCATAATGCAAGGGAAACCATTTAATAGAATCTGAGACCAGATAGGTTTAGGTCTGATCACGTGGAAATGTTATTTGAATTTAAAATTTTGATATAATTTATTGATATAATAATATAATTTTAGTAAAATTATTGAATCAATACCAAATTCTAATATTTGATAAACTTCACAATCAATTCAAAAATTAAAATAAATTAAGTCAACAAATTTGATAAGTAAATTAAATCCTAATAACATTGCTCCCCGTCATAACATATACCATCACAAACACGGAGGTTTTCTTATTGGTCATATTTCATGTGCAAGACATCTAATAGGAAGCAGCGAAACTATTCATTGAGATTGATTTTATATATTATATATATACTACTTCATGATGCACTACAGGTGGTCAAACCCAAGCAGCAATTATAGCAATAATTTTTCCCCTTAATATGCTTTTTTTTCTCGGTACGTAAGATCAATTCCATAAAATCGAAAATAGGATCATATACACAAGGGTATCCAAAGTGATGGTAGGTCTTCTAAAACAAGAAAATAGAAGATCCACCATCTCTATAGCAAAAAAATACATTATAATTTCACTTTTCAAAAGGATAAAAAAAAGTATTAAGCTCAAGCATATCTGAACTTCAAAACTTGAACAAAAAAAAGAAGCACCATCTAGTATTACAGCAGCAACATCAACATCATTGCAAAACCATCAACATCAAATAATAGAAAAAATTAGCACCAACAATTTAGCCACAAAAATAGAGACATTGGACAAAATAGTATCAGCAATCCAGCAACACAGCAACAACAAAATCAACCTAAACTTGAACAGAAAAATGAAGCACCATCCAGCGTTGTAGCAACAACATCAACATCATTGCAAAACCATTAACATCAAGTAATAGCAAAAATCAACACCAACAACACACCCACAAAAATAGAGTATTCTTCACAAAAACAGTAATTAACAACAGTCCAGCAGCACCATCCAGCTAGAAACTTCTCAACCAAAGCAAAAATGCAAAAGCACATCAAGAAGAGAGACATTCCTCACCCCAAAACATGGCATCAAGAAGAAGAAAACCCTCAAGGAGGATAAAAATATCCACTAGCAAGGCTCATTGTATTTGTAGCCAAAGATTAGNACGCAAAAAAACATCAAGAAGAGAGACATTCCTCACACCAAAACATGGCATCAGGAAGAAGAAAACCCTCAAGGAGGATAAAAATATCCACTAGCAAGGCTCATTGTATTTGTAGCCAAAGATTAGGAACAGATTTTTGGTAGCCCCTGCTCAAGTGAAGTTTAAATCTAATCTAATCCTCCACATCGTTAGAAAGAGTCACCAAACATTGTTGGAAAGAATCACCACATCTTTATAGTCATTTCTGAAAATCCTAGCATTTCTTTCTCTCCAAATCACATAGACCATAGTTGAAAGGATAAGCCTGCTAATTAGTTTCCCAAGTCCCTTCCCCTTAGCATTAATAGCAAACCAATNCATGCTCAAGTGAAGTTTAAATCTAATGTAATCCTCCACATCGTTAGAAAGAGTCACCACACATCGTTGGAAAGAGTCACCACATCTTTATAGCCATTCCTGAAAATCCCAGCATTTCTTTCTCTCCAAATCACATAGACCATAGTTGCAAGGATAAGCCTACTAATTAGTTTCCCAAGTTCCTTCCCCTTAGAATTAATAGCAAACCAATTAACCAGATTCCTCCACTCTAAGCTATATCTCTGCATTTTTACAACACCCCCCTTTCTTTCTGGTCCCTCTCTTTCTCCCTACCTCTCTGTTGAAGATCATGCACTTTCTCTAGTTCATGAATCATCTGGATTTTTCTAGAGTACGTTGTCATTGCACATTAATGTATTGCACATATTATGTATGTTCCGTAGGATGCTTTGAGTTTTATTGTAATATCTATGTTTTGGGTTCTATAAATTATTTACCTTCCAAAAAAAAATGTATTGAACACATTTGGTGTTAAGGGTCATTTGTATAATATATTCACGCACTAGAGTCTTCATGTATTTGTGTAACTTTGAAGTATTTTTTTTTTCGGAAGGTAAATGTATTAATATAAACCGGATATACCAGGGTAATCACCCGCAAATTGTACAATGGAGACCCTTAGGACCCAAATACAAGANCAAGGATAATCACCCGCAAAATGTACAATGGAGTCACTTAGGACCCAAATACAAGACAAAAAACCCAAAAAATCAAGGCTCATGGCACAAGTCTGTAAGAGATGTCCTAATTAAGAGCATCCACCATAGAATTGTTGACAAGAATACAGAGCATAAAACCAATAAATCAAAACACATTAGCCCAAGTACAGCAACAAAGAGCAGGCCAAAAAACAGTAGCATAGCACTCCATAGCAGCATCAAAACCAACACAACGCAAAATAGCCCATCACCGCATAGCAGCAGCAAGCGGACAGCCTCAGAACAAAGCAAACCAGCCCAAAACAAAGCATAAAAAGCCCTGCTCCACATAGCAGCAACATCCCTGCTCCATATAGCAGCAGCAAACAATTTGCAGTAGAAGAAAACAGGACAAGGCAAGCTAGCCCAGCTCATCATAGCACCAATAACCCATATGCATAAGAAAAAAATAGAATATGACAAAGCATTCCAGCTCAACATAATAGCAACAGCCTTTAATCTGACAGCCCCAAACAGCAAGTAGGCCATAGGCCAAAGCAAAACAGCCCAACTCAACATAACAGCGCTGAAATTTCTCAAACAAGAACAGAGGAGAGGAACCAAAGATGCCCTTAGCATATAAGAGATCCTCCACCTACCAAACCCTTAAAAAGAGACCCTTCAACCATAACATTCAAGCTCAAGCATAACAGCCCCAAGCTGCTGCACAGCTAAAGCAAACAGCCCCAAGCAACAGCACAACAAGGCAAAACAGACCAACAGCAAAAGGCCAGAAAGATGCAAAGCAAATTGAAGAATCCACGGTTCAGCTCATCTCAAACAAGCTCCAGGAAGGTTCCATTGTTGCAGCAGAATTGCATTTTGTTGAGTTCTCTTGAATTTCAATGAAATGAGCCTTTCTCTGATGGTTTGCGTGATGGAATAGAGAAGAGAACTTGGGTCTTTGCTCTGCTTTTTGAAGATTCTCCCATTCCTCTCAGTCCACAAAGAATAGACAGTAACAGAAAGACCAAGCTTTAAAATAGTTGTCTTCATTGATTTTCCTCTCCACTGTTGAGCAGCTCAAGAAATTGAAACAGTCCAATGTCTCTGTTGCCACTGTTGGTTGTTTAGGAGCATAATACCATTCTAAACCTTGTTAGAGAAATTACATTCAAAAAACAAATGGCTATGTGTTTCATCAGCTCTTTTACATAGAACACATTGTGGGTCAATCTGAGCTACACATCTTTGAATTCTGTCCTTAGTGTTCAGCTTACATCTGATAGCAAGGCAGAGGATGAAGGCCATTCTAGGGATAGCTTTACCATACCACACAAGTTTATATCATTGCACGGTTGGACCTTCACTCCTGATATGTTCCCAGGCAGAATTAGTAGAAAAGTTACCCCCCGCAGTTAAAGTTCACTTGACTGAATCCTCAGTATCTTGTTCAGGAAGATAGTTTGGCATTGCATCAATGATTTCCTGCACTTGAATGGAAAAACCAAATGTCCAATTCCATTGGTTGTTCAAAATAATTTTGCTAACCTTAGCGTTTTTTGAAATTCTAGATTCTAGCAAGATCCTTGGGTCGCTTATTTGATGGAGTGGACCAAGGGGATGCTAGTTTCCTAGCCACAGGCTGGTAGCATTCCCATTACCTACCATGTGGATAATGCAAGGCTTGAGCAATCCTCTAAGTTTAAGGAAATTTCCCCAATTCCAAGAGCATGGTTGGGTGGCTTTGAGGTCCCAAAGGATTCTCCCCTTGATGTAATAGGCATGAATCCACTAAGACCATAAATTCTCCTTGTCATTAAAAAGTTGCCACAGATGCCTCATAAGCAGTGCTCTATTCTAATCCCTCAACATTTTGATACCAAGCCTTCCTTCCTCTTTAGGTTTACATACCTCATTCCAGGGGACCTTTGCTCCCGTATGGCTAAGATCAATACCTTTCCAAATAAAAGATCTCATGGTCTATTCAATTCTATGAATAACCTTCTATGGAAGACTCAAATGAGAGGCCCAGAATATGTGCAAGCTGCATAGAATAGAAATGACTAGTTGAACTCTACCAGCATATGAAAGTGATCGATTGACCCACGACTTAACTCTTGATTCCACCTTTTCAATAAGACTGGAGCAGTGTTGATGCTTCAAACCAGACGAAATGAGTGGAACACCTAAGTATTTGATAGGAAAATTCCCCTCCTCAACAGCAAACAAATTCTTGATATGACAAGCAGTATCTTCATTTATTGCACACAAGAAAATATTACTCTTTCCTGCATTAACTTAGAGCCCTGAAGCCACACTGAACTAGTCCAAGGAATTCTTGATCACCGAGGCAGAGTTCATGTCACTGTAGCAAAACAACATCAAGTCATCAGCAAATGAAAGTTGGGCAATTTGAGAGTTTTACACCTCCAATGGAATTTGAAGCTTGGATTTGAACTAATGTTGAACTAGATAAGAAGAGATAAACACTCCATCGCAATGACAAAAAGGTAAGGGGACATAGGGTCACTCTGTCTTAAACCCCTTCTGCTAGGGAAGTATCCAACTGTCCCACTATTGATATTCACTGAGAATTTAGTAGAGGTACCACATGCTTGAATCCATCTCCTCATGGTGTAAGGGAAATTAAGAGCCTCCAATGCTTCAAACAGAAAAGTTCAGTCAAGTGTGTCATAAGCTTTCCTCAAATCCACCTTTAGCCCACATCTAGGAGACCCTTTATTTTTATGGTAATCCCTCATTAACTCTTGAGTGAGTAGAATATTTTCACCAATCTTTCTTCCATGGACAAAGGCTGCTTGGTTTGAGTTTATAAGACTGAAAAGAGAACCTTTAATCCTATTGGCAATAATCCTGGATATAGCTTTATACATGACATTGCAACAAGAAATAGGTCTATAGTCCTCCATAGTAGTAGGATTAGGAACCTTGGGAACTAACGCAATGATGGTAATGTTTACCTCTTTCAATAACCTTCCCGTTGAGAAATATTCCTTCACAGCAGCAACAATGTCCTTCTCTATGATATGTCAAGCCCTTTTAAAAAACACAGCATTGAACCCATCAGGACCTGGGGCTTTTTGATCATTGAAGGAGAAAAAAAATTTCGTGATTTCCTCCTCAGTGGCTTCCCTTTCCATTTCAGCAGCTTGTTGATCAATAACTTTGTTTTGGATAATCGATTGCAACAAATCCCTGCTTTCATTTGAATAGGAGGGCTGTCCCTAGAGCTTTTGAAAATAATCTAGAGCCTCAACTTTCACAGTTTGTTCCCCCTCAACCCTTGTGCCATCAACTCTCGTAAAAGCCAAAAAAAAATTCCTGTTCCTTCTATTAGTCATAGTCTTGTGGAAGAAAGATGTATTCTTATCCCCTTCGCTGAGCCATTGGACCCTAGATTTTTGTTTGTAAAATCCCTCCTCAATCTTAGCAGCTTGAATGTACTTTGCAAGGAGTTTTTGTTTCTCTTTATTCATGGCAGTATCACTTAGGTTACCATCCAACATTCTTTGACATCTCTCCAAAGCTTCTCTGGTTTCTTTGGCCCTAACTATAACTTCTCAAATATTCTTGGTTATCACTTTAAATATTGTCTTGAGAGGTTTGAGTTTGCAGTAAACACGATACTGACAAGTCCCTTGAATAGGCTGTGACCAAATCTGATTCACCAAGTCTAAGAAATCCTCTCTCTCTACAAGGAAGTTAAAAAATCTGAAAGGGCTGTTTCTCCTTTCCACTTGAAGTCCCAAATGCACAACAGCAGGACTATGGTCAGAAACACCAAGATGTAAAAAATCTGTCATAGCCTGTTGAAAGGTGAGGCTCCACTTTTCATTCACCAGGACTCTATCTAGCTTATGAGCCACACATCCATGACCACCCCTCTTATTACGCCATGTAAATTGAATACCTGAGTACCTGAGATCGATAAGCTTGGAATGCTGTAAGCATTTATCAAATTCTTCCATTCCAGAGTTCCATCTATTCTGTCCCCCTTCATTTTTGTGTAAGCTCCTAATAGCAATAAAATCACCTAAAACCACCCAAGGTTCATTTGAGAAGATACTAGCATGGTAGATAAGATTGCTCCATAATGGTCTTCTTTCTCTATCATCATTAAAGTCATAAACAAAAGGGGCTGTGAATTGTACCTTACTCTCAAGATGCTTGATCTTGCAATGGACAACTTGAACAGACTCAGAGATCTTACTAAGCTCCACATTATTTGTGTTCCACCTAATCCATATCCTTCCAAAATTATGACTATTATAGTTTGCTAGACAATTCCAATCTCTAAAGACCCCCTGTATGATTATATTTTTATTTACAGGTTTCACATTTGTTTCAACCAGCCCTAATATATCAAGCTTCTGTTCAAAAATAATTTTCCTAACCTCCCCATGTTTAGAAGTCTCATTAAGACCTCTAATGTTCCAACATGCACAATTCATTGAGGGGGTTGGATTTTTCTATGCAAGTGGTGCTCAGCCACCTTGGACTTTGAGTCTTTCTTCTTCCCTTTCTTCGTTTTGTTTGGCATTTGTTGAAGCTTAGCACTAATTGGTTCCTCCTTCTTACGAACATCCTCAATTGTTTCATTTGGTACGTTTGCTTCAGGCTCAATCTCCGCTCTTAAATCAACCACAATTTGCCCCGTCCTTGTTGAGCTCCTTAAATTTGTTAAATGCCAAAGTAACACCAGTTTACATGAGCAGTTGAGGAGGGGTACTCTCATTGACTGTTATCTTAGTGATATGGTGATCATGACCCAAAATATCTTGTTGAGAAGAGTTAGAGGCGCCACCTTGGATAACCATTCCCATATTATTCTTGACCATGACCAAGGAAGAAACTTGGTAACCTCCTATTAGTTCCTCTGCTTGAGTCTGACCAGCCTCTTACTGCTCTAATCCAATCAAAGTTGCAATTGCCTTTCCCTTATCTAGCCTAACTGAGTTGGCCTGTAAAGGAACTAGTTTGGGCTTCCAGCTTTTCTTAGCTCTTTGTTTAGGACAGGTTGACTCATTGTGACAAAAAAATGCAGCAGTTATGACAAATTTTAGGTCTCCATTGATACTCCACCTTGATCTCTATGGTTTCAATTTTCCCCTGCATGTCCATGAGGAGGTCAAAGCTTTCAACCAGTTTTTCAACAGCATTCACCTCCACACATAATCTTGCGTAACTTAATCTCCTCTTATTTGCAGTAAGAGTGTCAGCATAAAGCGGTTTACTCACTGCACTAGCAAGGTAGCTAAGTCCTTCATCACTCCAAAATTGGAGGGGGGTGTTATGCAACTTAATCCATAGTGGAATTACAGAGTGGTTCTCTTTGGTTAGGAAAAGATCAGGATGCCACTTTTTGATGATGAGTGGCCTACCAGAAAAAAGTCAAGGGCCATCTTCACATACTTTGGTTCTAGACTTATCATCCATGAACTAAAAAAAAATAGAACCCCTTTTCATTTGCATAAACCTCAAGGAGACTCATATTGCCCCAAATCTTGTGAGCAATAAAGCTAACAGATGTAAAAGGGAGTTTTTTTCTCTATGAAGTAACCAACGAGGTAGTTTCTCCACTCATGACAGCCCTTAGAGACAACTTCCATAGGAGGATGGACAATAATTCTGTTCTTCTCTCTTTTGGGTTTAAAGTATTGAAGGTTCATTACCTCAGAAGGGTGTTGTTGCAGAGATCTGGATTTTTCCATAACATTCTGCTTTAATACTTGGCTCCATGGCTTTGTAGGTGTGGGCTTAGATTGTGAAACACTCATATGCTTGCTTGGATGCTGCCCATTAGAAGATCCCACAACCGTGGGAATAGGGGAAGAGTCCCAAACATTGTTACCCGTAGGGAGAGTTGGGAACTCTTGGATGCTGTGGTAGTCCTCTATGTCTACATCAATTGTGGTTGAAGTCGCGGATGGAGTCTTGTTTGCAATGACTTCATTTGGCAAAGATGGTGGGTTTGGTGGAGTATCTTTGTGTTCACTGCCTAGTGATGTTTTAGTGAGAGATTGGGTTGACCCACTTTCATTAATAGCTTGGTAGTTGGCAGAACAAGTAGGAGCCCCATCGATCTTCTTTGAATCTTTGGAATTACAAGCCTCCCCTATCATGGCTGAGCTGGAACAGTCTGCATAAATCAATTGGAAAGAAGGTTGGGCAGAGGATAAGCAGAAGAAACTAGAGGACGAGAAGAATAGGGGATCTGAGTGAATGAGGTGGGTATCGGTAGGGAAATGGAGGATTGTAGGAGATTAGGGGAGGATGAGAAAAAATTTGACATGGAAATTCTAGGGTTCAAGGAGGACTCCTAATCTTTGTAACTTTGAAGTATTAGTCTAGAATAAGTATATACATGGATTGGTACTTCGAATGTATTGTAGTTATGCATAAGTGGAAAGCCGAAAACCTATGTAAAGAGACCTATGATTTTATTTGTAGGGAATGAAGTGAGAAGAAATACAAGATGAGAACTTTCCTTCTTCGACCTTCATCATTTTAGAACTCATTCAACAAAATGGTATAGCGTGATTGGAGTACTAATTCCCACAAGAAAACAGTTCGATCACAAAGGTTCCGGTCCCCAATAAGAGATGGTTTCCTGTACCTTTTCCCCCATTGTCCTTTTCACTGGTCAGTTGATGAATGAAACAAATAAAAGAAAAAAAAAAGTAATGAATACGGTTTTTTATTATCAGATGAAAAAAAAACTTTCCCTCCCTCCTTTATNATAGTAATGAATACGGCTTTTTATTATCAGATGAAAAAAAAACTTTCCCTCCCTCCTTTATATTTGGGAAGAGGTGATAGAAATTACTAATATTTATGTTTCTTTTGATATGATAGAAAAATAAAATGATATAAAGTTGGAGAATAAATAAAACATCATATTTGGTCAGAAAAAAAAAGAATAATAGAAAAGTGGATGAATTAACTTTATTTCCAATTCACCAAAATCAGGAAGAAAGTAGATGAAAAGTTTATTATGTGTGTTAAAATGTATGTTATTTGTCTGTATATATCAAATGATATCTATATAATAAAACATGAGTGTGTTTGAATTTTATTTCAGTCATATTTTTTTCCTCAAAACACCACCAATCACTTACCTCACTCATCATCCCTTTGTCAGATTCAAACGTCAAATTACATCACTCATTTCTATCACATATTTAATCATTTATTTATTTTCTCCCTAAAAATATCACATCACTCATTTCTATTATATATTTAATTATTTAATATTTAATTAATTTATAGTTAATATATTTTGAAAAAATTTAATATAGTGGAATCGATTTTTTAGACATTCAAATTTTATATTTTATCGTGCCTTCAGACACAGATTATGAATAGTATACATATATCATNTCGATTTTTTAGACATTCAAATTTTATATTTTATCGTGCCTTCAGACACAGATTATGAATAGTATACATATATCATATTTATCAATTACATATTATGTAAACATTAATTCATATATAAATATAATTGTAAAATATGTATTTATATTTTTAGATAAAAATTTAAAAAAAATAAGAAAATATACTTTTTCCATCTTATCAAACACAACAAAGTTAATTATNTTTTAGATAAAAATTTTAAAAAATAAGAAAATATACTTTTTCCATCTTATCAAACACAACAAAGTTAATTATTTCTACTTACTATCCTTCTTACTAAATACAAAGATAAAATGAAGGATTTTTCTCTTGAAGGATGAAAATATATCACTCCCAATTTTTATCCTTCTATTTTTTTCATCCATCCTACTAAACAGACCATTAATTTTATTTCATCCACGTAGGAAATGAACATATCCATGATATGGAAAAATCAATAGAATATATGTATGTATGGAGGGACATAAAGATAAATAATTTACATTTTATATAACTTGTTTAGCGCTCACACGTCGGGGACCATCAATTGAATGGATTAAAAACTAATTACTTCTGTTTTTGTGTATGTTAGTGACGATTAAAAAATTATAATTTCTATTTAACACGTTTGATTTCGAAAAATATTATTGGAGAAAACCACATCTCAGATCCGAAAAGGACTAAAAGTAAGTGAAAGCCAGAAAGAGACAAATTGAAGAAAATGAATNCCACATCTCAGATCCGAAAAGGACTAAAAGTAAGTGAAAGCCAGAAAGAGACAAATTGAAGAAAATGAATTTTACTATTTGATTAAAACTAAACCTAAAACTTGTCCATGATGTGAAAGTCTTAAATAAAATGCAAGGAAGTAGTTGGGAAATGTTTCTTATTGAAATAACTAATGAGGTAGGGTCATTATTTTCTTCTAGGGTTGTTTATTGGAACGTTTGTTGTTTACTCACTTTCTTTTAATCCCAAATAAAGTCATTAAAATTATTTTATTTATAAAAACAATTACCTCNCTTAAATAAAATGCAAGGAAGTAGTTGGGAAATGTTTCTTATTGAAATAACTAATGAGGTAGGGTCATTATTTTCTTCTAGGGTTGTTTATTGGAACGTTTGTTGTTTACTCACTTTCTTTTATTCCCAAATAAAGTCATTAAAATTATTTTATTTATAAAAACAATTACCTCTTTTACGTCTCATTATTTAAGACCGTCGGATGAACTTTGGTCAAAATTTGGAAAGATACAACCAATTATTTAAGGAATTCCAAATATCAGCCTTTTCATGATAAATTAAATTTGTTTGAGCCATTAACTGAATAATAGTTATGTTTTTTTTTATTTTGGTGGTTGAATTGATCAAGTGCCCTCAATTATGCCAGTTTTTATAATCCCTCAAATCAAAGAGATGGAGGTCGATAATTTACAAAGCCATTAATTTCGTAAGAGTATTGTTACAAAAGTCAAATGAAACTTAAAAAGTTGTAATTCAAATACAAATCATTTCTTGGATGAGTGGGTCTCATTAATTTTTTCAATGAAATTCACTAATTTCACACTCATTAAAGGGATGATATATATTTGAGTTTTAATTTTTAAATTTTATTTGAATTATATAACACTGTACATCCTATAATGCGGATAAACACACAAGGCCACCTGTCTGCAGCTTTGGGGAAGGTTCTCAAGTATATCATACCAAAATCATAATTGGGTCTCCATAAAGGGGGTAAGGGGATCCGAAGGCTTAGCCCACCTTCATAGGTTTGAGTACCATTTAAGGGTACTTTATCCTAAAGTTTGCTCAACCCATAACTAACTTATTTTTCAATGTAAAGATGAATTATTTTAGTATTTTATTTTAATATATGTTATTTTTTTAATCAATGGTCATTAATTACTAGAAATCTTTCGAGGCATAATACCAAAAATTATTTTTGGATACCACAGTTTTTCCCAACTTTGCATAAGCTCAACCTTGCTTGATTCAATGATTTAACTAGGGACCAGCCAGAGGGATGAGCTTTAAATCCCAATGGATTGAGTTCAAGTCTTTCTAACCAAGTAAAACTTTAATTTTACCAATGCAATATACATTGATGATTACGTACATTATTAGAGCTAATGACCATAACAATAAATCTAGCTAGCATGTGATTGAAATAATTTCCAGTATCAAACTTAACACTAGTTGTAAACTCTAAAAGGTGAAGATATGGAAGGTTCCTCTTCCAACCAAACACACATACAAAAAGGCATTAGGACCATACCCAGCTGCATGATGCACAAATGTGACATATACCCTACACATATAACCAGTTAGTACCATAACCACTACATGTAACATATATACTATTGTGTTATTGATTCTGTTTGGCAAGCAGAAGATACCCAACTTGCAAAACTATTCCCTGAATGCTTTTATAATATTGCTCTGAAGTGTCATTAAAGAACTCCTCATCCAACTCATGTGCTGCTAATTTAATGGAGGCCAATAAGGGCTTATCTTATTAAGAGTTTCCCACTGATACCGTTCATCGATTGTCCTGCTTTTCTTTCTACTTTTGCCGACCATATATTGTACGGGTGCATGCACAGCAAGCACAATTCTTGGAGCTTATATGAACAAAGAATAAAATTGAAATCTTCTACTGCATGATTAGAGCTAAACTATAAATTGGAAGATACATCGAAATCGCTGGGATCACTAAATAATATTTCTTTTGTGAGAAGAATATATTTTATCTGGAGGGAAGAATATAATTGACATAGTTTTCCCTAAAACAAAAGCAACAGTGCCTTTTGAACTAGATGTTATCTTTCTTTCTTTTTTTTTTTTTTTTGGGGGAGG